CCACACGATGTCACCTCCCAGAACAGTGTAATCTAACACCGCCGTGAGAAACTCAAAACACGCGGCAATGAAAGCTCACGTGTTTTGTAGAATAAGCGGGAGTGTCTTGGCTAACCGACTGGCAGTTTCTCAAGGTCTTTCTTCGATAAAGTTATTTTATTACAGGCCTGTTGTATTTCGGCGTCATCTTTTGCGTGAACAACAAGATCACGCAAGAGAAGACAACTTCTACTCTGATCAGAAAAAAAAACAATATTCTTTTAATAACACCAACTACAATAAATGAAACATTTTAATATTTTACTTATAGTTTGTACTTTGGTATTAACATTGGCAAGTAACACGTATAACCTCCCCCAAATGTAAACATTGGCCAATATAAGGGAAATAGTATAAAAATGTAACAGGCCGTGGAGACCCATAGGGTTGTGAGACGTCGAGGCTCCCACATTTTCTAAACAATCGACTCACATATTGCGGTGAGGTTGTCAGTCTTGCGCGCCTGCCTCTCTTTAGCCCCAGAAAGATTTCTGGTACTCATTTCTGTTAGACGCTGAGTCGACCCCAGGGCCGTAGTGCGGCTGGAAGGATTAGGTCAATTGAAAAATACAATGAACATCGGGAATCGAACGCGCAACGTTCCGGCTTGTAGCATAGTGCCTCAACCAACTACGCTACCGCGTTCCCCGCATACAAGTACAATGAGTGTAAATATTTTACTTGATGGCCATAAAGAGTCGAAACATGTAAAATATATAAAATTCATAAACGAATTGTGGTGACGGAGCCAATAATAATTTGTCAGAGGCCTAGGTCACTTTTTTGAGGTTATGTCTCAACGTTATGGACGAAAATCACAATGCAGTCGTGTCACAGATCAGTGAGATTGTGTTTAGATCCTGTTTTACGCAGAACGTAGCGAATATGAACAGTGTGCTGTCTTTCCAGCGCTTCGTCATTCCTGATTCGTCCTACGACTTCACGCCCGTTTCCACTTCGTGGTGGAGGCAAAGTGGGCTCATCTGTATGCCCGTCGAAATCGCTTCACAGGTCTCGCAAGGATCATTACGAAAACGAATCTTATTTTTGCCTCTGCCGGTCCACTCTAAACCCTACTTTACAGGGCATTCGTATAGAATTCCATCAGATGTTGAGGCTGTTTTACGCGCTGGCTTCTCACAACGCAGTCTGGGGTTTAGGCCAGAGTGACTTCATGTAAGATTCCTGGTGAGCAGTGTAGTACTGAAATAGGGTTTGTGGAAGTTCGCCCAGCAGTCAACATTCTGTCATTCCTCTATACTCAGCCACGAGAGCTGTGCGATAGACCTGACCACGCTACGCGTTATCGCGTTCTGCGTCGTTAAGTTCTGGGTATCATCTCTGGCTCCGCGCTTGGCTGATCACGGTGTTGGGAAGATCATTAACGGTTAATCATGCAGTTAATGCGTACGCTGTGTGATTGTGCTTAAATGTGTGGCTTTTCGTTTGTAATGCTTTTCGATGTGGCTTGTATTTAACGAAACGTACGGTACTTAGGTGTCTGAGTAATGTAACATTTCTACCGGAATGGTAGTTAATGGGTAGTATACATGCTTCGTATTCGGTAGGGCTCGGGTTCAAAACCTGGCCTTGCTACCGCTCTGTCCTCACTTGGCTTATTCTTGATTTTTTCAGTTCCTGAAGGCCAATGCTATGATATTGTTTCAAATTAAGCTACGGACACTGCTTTCCACAATGAACAGCTTTAATATTTTGGGTTTGAGATTCTCACTTTGGTTGACTATGAAGAATTCTAGATTGTGGGAGATAACGTCGTGTAATCAGGCGGAAGTGAACCGTCGTTTCGGAGGAAGATATCACCTCCATCTTTAGTGTCTAAGTGATTCAAGTAAGAAGCCAAAATGAAGCGGTCAGCAACTAGAACCTGAAGATGGAGGAGATATATTCCTCCGAAACATCGGCTGGCTTTCATTGGACTACACAACGTTATATCCCAGAAAATATAACTTTTCAGANGACACGCTACACTTTCGGAGGTCTGCTGTGTGTCTGCACAGCGACAGAGCACGGTTGCTTATGCCCTGGTCTGGGTTCAGATGGTCCTGTCTCATGTACGCTGCTACTCTGAACTCTAGCGAGAGGACTGACACGCTATACTTTGGGAGGTCTGTCAGTTATGAAATGAAATAATGGCACAGTTGTTTCTGTGCTTAATTAAGCACCTCGTCATGGAGAGATGTGGGAGGTGGAAGTACAGGTATAGATCCATGCATTCACAGTTTATATTCACCTTAATTCCCTGGCCACTTTACTCCCGGGGAAAGAAATCCGAGTGCTCACTGGATAGAATAGGAGGTTTGTCGGAGCCGGTTTNTGCGGAATTATTAGCAAATTCATCGGGCCGGTTCTATACGATTCACCCTGTATGTAACCCCAAAGTTCCGCGCATGCGCTTACGGTTTATATTCTTGACACCCTGGCGAATGTTCTATGTATATGAATATAAGCAAATAACCTAAGCAGCTGGTAAGTCTTTGCGTTGCCCAAAATTCTTTGTGACTGCACCATCGTACCGAATGCTGAGCGAGTTTAAAACACCGACGCTCTACGCTCTCGATACTGACAGCGTCTCTGAGTAGCAAGTAAAACAAGAAGTTCCTTGATGAACTAATCTAGCCTGCGTTCCTTTTATTACATATTGAGTATTTTATACGTCACGGATTGTATAGAAAATACCGCATCCAGCAGTTCTTGTATCGTTGCGTTTATTCATTGCCGTGGGAACGTTTTTACCTGGCAGTTGCCTAGCAACGATAGGGGGGACACATACACAATAAGGTGGTTTATATAAGCCCCCTTTTTAGCCTGCTGTCCATGTTTTGGAAAAAGAAAAGGTTTATGAGATTACCTTGCTGTGTATCTATTTTTGTTTTCGTCATCTGTGCGGTCCTTGTCGTGTCGGAGGAAGTAAGCTAAGAAAAGAGTTTATTACACTTGACGTGTTTATAATCAAGGTCATCTTTAATATTACCTTCTCAAGTCAATCAAGTGGTCCCTGCCTATAAAATTTCCTAACCGACATTTCATATTTATTTCTTGTTTCCTCCAGGCATCCCCTGCCTCTCTCATTCTGCTTGATTTTGGGACCCTCACAACATTAGGTCGGGAGCAGGTGAGACAGTATAATGAGTGGCTACTAGCTGGACGTCCGAACTTCGATGATTGTTCTCTTCTCCACCGCGTCCAGGCCGGCCGTGCAGTCCAGCAATTCTCTTATCGAACAGGGACCGGACGGCCTTCCCCGAGAGTAAAGCGGCAGGGGCACGACTTTGGCCACTCACCTCCATCTCATGGCAAGGTTAATAATGCGTGGGGCTGTACCTCCACCCTCCCATACATTCATACAGAGACAAGTTTACCTCTGCCTTTACAGGGCCAACATATCATTTTGGCGTAATAGTGATATGTCAAGAGTCATATCCTCTGGGATGTAACTCTCTGTAGTCAGCTGAAAGTGAACCGACGTTTCGAAGGAACAGCTCGCTGACGCCTTCAGTGTCGGAAAGTAAGCTAAACAAGAAACCAGCGTGTAACAGGCAGCTAGCACATACTCGTATATTCCTCAGAAACGTCTGTTGACTTGCAGTGGACTACACGGCTTCTTACCCCAGAGGATAGAACTTCGGGTCCTACCACAATACGTGAAGATCACAAATTCTGGAAGACGATAGGGTATGTTCATTCAAAGTGGACTAAGCAACATTTTTCTTTGGTTAGGGAATTCTTTTGTAGAACCCGTGATCATGGAAACTTCGCGTCCGCGGTACCCAGTTTAATCCACTTCACATACAACATATTTTTCTAAAGTCTGTCCACACACACAGTCTCTTTAAGTCATGTCTTCTCACGTCGTTCCTTAACCAAAAATATGTATATATTTATTGTTTCCCCTATGCATAATACATGCCCCACCCATCGTATTCTGCTCGGCGTAAGTACGCTAACAATGTGACCTAAAATAAAAACAAATTATGAATTAAATTCATCTATAATTTCCTCCGTTAAGCTGTTGGTTTGTCAGTCTTACATCTGAATATCTTCAGCTGTTTGGTGCAATACATACCCTTAGTAGCGGTAATAGACAGTTTGTGATTATGCATGTATGTTTCTTGCTGTACGTCATGCGTTCTCAGATCGCCGTAGTTTTAACATATTTACAACGGTAAAAGGTAAAAAGAAAAAAGTAACGCTATCCCTGTAACAGGCCGTGGAGTCCCAGAAGGTTATGAGACGTCGAGGCTCCCACATTTTCTAGACAATCGGCTCAGAGATGGCGGGTGAGGTTAGCCTTACGCACCGCCCGCGGTTTACCCCCAGGAAGATTCCTGGTACTCATTTCTATTAAGAGGCGAGTCGACGTCAGGGCCATAGTGCGGCTGGAAGGATTAAAACAAAATTCGGAAAGGGGGGGGGTGGAGTCCAGCTGGGTCCACTCGGCACGTCGGCCACTGATTGGCCTATTGTACCTGCCCCGGGTGATTATGATGATGGAGAATTTGGTGGAATGAAGATGACAAGGGAAACCGAAGTATTCGGAAAAATCCTGCCGCAGCGCCAATTTGTCCACCACAAATCCCACTTGACCAGACCCGGGCTTGAACCCGGGCCGCCGAGGTGGGAAGCCAGCGACTAGCTGCTTGAACTATGGTGCGGCCTCGGTTGGAAGGATTATGTCAATTGAAAAAAATCCAGTGACCTCGTCGGGAATCAAACCCGCAATGTTTCGGCTTGTAGCATAGTGCCTCAACTAACTACGCTATCGCGTGCCTGTGGTAAGTTTGTGTACACGACTGTGTCATCTGAAGCATAACGGCATAACTTTTTATTCAGCCTTTTATTGGAGAAGGAAAGAAAGAAATGATTCCCCGTTGAATTTTAACGGACTTTTCCACTGGTATAAATAGAATAATTGTCACAAATTGTGATGTTCGATCACTGACCTTCATTGGAAGACACTTCCGCATGGTGTAGGCGACGTATGGTTACGGAGCCGTCAGCATTTTGCAGCCACTCACACGCACATCTGAGAAGCACACATAGGTACTACCTGCTCGGGTATAAGGCACTGACACAACTGACAGCCAGATTGGCTTTCTTGCCGGTTACAACTTGGTCTTCACTACAACCACTTGAAGGGGTCATCGTACCTAGCAGCGCCATGCTGCGGGTACTGTAACAAACACCGACCTTGCCTTTAATCTGCCGACCGAATTTCTGCTGTTGTCGCATTGTACTTAATGAAATGACTTTACTTTCGTTCAGCTGCATGTACATTCAGGGATTAGGTACTACTTTCTTTTCTAGCACCTCGCTACTTTACCGTCTTACATAGCTAATGTGGCAGCCGGTATAGCGATGGGCTACGCTACCCTGGTTCAACTCCCGGCAGTGCAAGATTTTTCACTTCTCCACAGCATCCAAACGGATCCTGGGTCCCACTCAGCCTCTTATCCACTGGGAACCGGGAAATCTTTCCCCAGGACTAAAGTAGTGGAGACGTGAAGCTTACCACTCACCTCCATCTAGTACCGAGGTGAGAAAAGGTGGAGCTATACCTCCATTCCCACATGTCTTCACGGTATAGTGCTTAACTACGGGGAGACTGAAAAAGTAGGTCACAGATGGAAGTAAAACAGCTGTAATGTACGTAATAAGTTTTCTATGTGTATCACTAGATAGCAGCATAGTCCAGCTTCATGACAGTCGATGTAGCAGAAGCACATGCGCCTATTCAGAGGCTGTTTACAGTAGTCAAAATGGCGATCATGCTTGAGGTGTGTACTACCGAAGAGCAGCGTTCTGTTGTGCGTTTTTTTGTGTGTGTAAGCAAAAGGACTCAGTATAAAAAATACGTATTCATAAAGAAATGTTTTCTGTTTATGTTGGGAAGTGCTTATTACATAAAGCAATTGACAGCTGAGTCGAGAAACGTGGCAAAGGTTTCGCTGATGACGAAGGCGTTGAAATGGAGGTGCGGAAGTGGCTGAGGCAACAGTCAAAAGACTTCTATGCTGCAGGTTTCGACACACTGATGAAGCGATGAGACAAGTTTATGGATGTTGATGGAGGATATGTCGAGAAATAAATGTTTGTTTTCCAGGTTCGAATATCGCATGTTTTACGTTTTATACATATTTGTCACCTATTTACCGGCTCTCCCTCGTAATTAAGCACAGGGACAGCTTTACCTTTTTGCGCAGTTATTGTAGGCCGTGATGTGCGACAGTGAGTATTCAGTTTCCGGCATAAGTATGGGGAGTATCCATGGGCTCCTTACATTCGGCAAATAAGTTATGCCCATGGGACGTTATGTCTCGGCACAATATTCGTTGGCGTAACTACGTACTGGTCTCGATTAAATCTTATATGGGCTTTTACGAAGTACAGAACGCAGGAAACTCAGTAATTAAGCAAGAAATTTGTATTTGGCAAATTAAAAATATACAGTATAAAAATACATAATTTTTCGTTTATTTCTTGAAGGTGATATCCTCGAGGTGAGGTCCGTTTCGTGTTTGCCATGACCGCTACTTTACAATCGCCCATTTCCCTACCCAACCCTTACTCATGGAGCTGAGCCCTTCTTCAGGAACCGCCAATTCTGCACCTACCCAAGAATTTCCTAGCATTTTATGGAACCCGAAGGTTCGTTACCGTGTTCACAAGAGCCCGCCACTGGTCCCTATCCTGAGCCAGATTAACCCAATCCGTACCATCTCATCCTATCCTAAGATCCATTTTAATATTATGCACCCACCTACGCTTTGGTCTTCCCAGTGGTCTCTTTCCTTCTGGCTTTCCCATCAATATAGGGTCCGGAATTTTGTTCCAAGAAACGGAAAGATCGCAATACAGTGTAGTACAGGAAAGCTTAAATGGATGTTAAATCGGTAGAAACAACGCCGAAACATAGACACGTATAAAGATTAACAAAAGGAAAATGCCAGTAGATTCTGAAGAGTTCTGACGGTGGTGTGTAACACTCAGAATTACTGGGGTTTTGGACGTTTCGGAAATTGGATCTGTTCCCGTCCTCAAGTGAGGGTGTGGGAGACACCTACTCTGTTGGGTCTGTTGGAAAGAACTGACCTCAGTTACTGGACAGGCAATCGTCCAGTGATTGAGTTTAGCTCTAATGGACCCAACAGAGTAGGTGTCTCCCACCCCCTCAACTGAGGACGGAAACATCCAGTTTCCGAAACGTTGTGTTCTTTAGAATGCCTTACGATGAACAAAGTCCCAAAACCCAGTAATTCCGAATGTGTATGCAGTTTTTGAGAAATATCGAGAGGCAAAGAGGGAAGGAGAGAATTATTACTGGTAGGCAAGAAGATGAAATGATACCGAGAAGGGCATTATAAATGTTCGGCCACACAGAGCGCCACGCTATGTTCGCTACATACGCTGTGTACACTCTGCGGCGCAGCTAACATAGGGAACATAGCGTACGTAGTGTACGGAAGTCTCTGTGGCCAGTCAGTCACGTTGGCAGTAAAGGGAGATATTTTCTGTTCGTATAGCGAACATAGCGTACGTAGCGTGCGTCGCGTACGTAGCGCTCTGTGTGGCCGAACCTTAAAGGAACGATACCTATTGCGACGTCATATATATGCTAGAAGATAACACCGCTGAGAGAGCCTCAAAAATACACAGATGAGAGACTTGTTCGTCCGTTGTCCCACATGAAACGGAAACAATGCTAGAAGACGAAGAAGAAGGTACGTAACTTCGATCCGTATCGGTTCGCTGCAGGTCTTATTTTAAATGCAGCTCAAAGCGAACTTCGTTAAATCTTCAGGAAAGCGATTTGTGCTATATGAAAGCAACACCCGTTCCTTTTCGGAGCTTGTAGAACGCTACTGCCGTGTATTGGTTCTGTGCCGGAGCACGTGTATGAATTCTCGTCTGACTTTGGCATGTGTATGCAGAAACACTGAAACATTTGGTGAATTTCGTTGCCGTCAACGTATCATCTGAAATCAATTGCCTCCAATTAGTATTGGCTGGCAAGGAAATTTCGCTACCGATTGTGTGAAATAAGGTGCTCGTAACTTGTATTTATTCCGTTATCCATTCATTTAAAAATAACAGCTATACTGAGGCCTTAAACAGAAATCCCATGGATGTTGAGGGTTGCATCACTCGAGGCTTTCCATTTTGTATGTGCTGTTTCCCTCCACCACCCTCTGTCCTAGATAAACCATCCGAAAGCGCTTATTTGCTAGGCAAGGTTAACACGTGGTGAACAGGAGGGCTTGGTGATTGGATGAAAATGGAATGAGGCCTAACAGCTAGAAGAACATGTGGAGGTCGAGCCATGGCGTTTCTTTCCGTGGCCTTGGTATAACTATATTCTAGAAGCCCACATGAACATGTAACAGGCCAGGAAGGCCCATAGTGTTGTGAGCCGTCGAGGCTCCCAGATTTTCTAGACAGATGGCGGTGAGGTTGTCAGCCTTACGTATCGGCTGCCCTTTACCCCCAAGAAGATTCCTGGTACTCATTTCCGTTAGAGGCTGAGTCGACCCCAGGGCCATAGCGCGGCTGGAAGGATTAGGTCAATTGAAAAATCCAATGACCTCATCGAGAGTCGAACCCACGACCTTGCGGCTTGTAGCATAGTGCCTCAACCAGCTACTCTAATGGATGCCCCAGAAACACACCTAATCAGTAAATTATGCCCCCCTTGAGGGTATTTGGGGATTGATTGCCATGTTCACAGCCGCCTGCAAGTGGCCTCTGTTGCTAGCCGAAAGAACCAGAGCCNGAAACGTCGGCCAAAACGAAGAATACACGGTGCCTAAACCCAGAAGACGACTTTCTTCATTGTCATCGCCGTGAAAACCTCAAAACTTACATGGAGCTTCTCTGTTTACTCGTCCGTGCAGTGCGACCGCCTAGACGTAGGTGGGATTGCAGTACTAAACTGGCTCTTCAAGAAGTGCGGGAACAATTTGAGATTCATCAGCCTGTGGCTGATAAGGATATCTCAGGTTCAGTGGAAGTCCATTCAGTCTGCTAATCAGTGGATACCGGAAGCCATTTCGCTGGAGCTGAAGCGGCCCGAGAATCCAACTTTATTCTACGTCCACTCCCTACACGTCTTCATGACCCTGATAAATATTGTGAGCTCCTGCTAGGTGAAGTGAATGCTTGGAGCTGCGGTCTCGTCGCCCCTTCCAGTCCATAACGGTCATGGGGTGTGCAGGAATGCATCTACAAAGTGGAAGCACCCACGAAAGAGAGGAATTGGGCGGACATACCAAGCCGAGGATCCGGTCCGTCGCATCCGTCCGTGGACTCTATGAAGTGCCTGGGTACTCAGGAAAGAGAAAAGTTTATTCGTGTTAGATTGTAAGTTTTGTGAACAACTGTAGGCAAGAGCCACAGAGTTTTGATTTTCTAATTATCAGACTTGTATCTCGTAAAGGTAATTTGGTGGCCTCCAAAGAAGGGAGGGGTCAGGGGTTACGTAGTTGGTTGAGGCACCATGCTACAAGCCAGAAGGTCCCGTGTTTGATTCCGGATGAGGTCATTGGATTTTTCGAAGCACCAAATACTTCAGCCGCACTATGGCCCTGGGGTCGGCTCAGCCTCTAATAGAAATGAAAACCAGGAATTTTCCTTGGGGGTAAAGGACGGTCGGCACGTAAAACTGACAACCTTGCCGTCATCTATGAACCGATTATCTAGAGAAAATGTGGGAGCCTCGACGTCTCACAAACGAATGGGCCTCCACGGCATGTTACAAGAATAGCTTTACTTTTTTTTTGCCGTTTTTTACCAGAGAAGTTTATTGAATTTTGATTAATTTAAATATGTAGGGCCACACGAGAAGCGTGCAGTAGCAACTTGGAACTTGAATAGCGGCCCAACAATTGCTTGAAGTAAGAGAGAAACCAAGAAAACCTGAGCAGAGATGGCCGGTCGCAGGACCTTGCACATACTTAATGAATTCTAACAATCAGTCCGACAACAAGAGAATATGAATTTTCCTGCAGTTTCCCAAGCTTGTATGCTGTTGGGTTAAACATCTGCATGCGTTATAACAGTGCAGTGGTTATGCAGTGTATAAGAAATAGCAGCTTGCGCGAGTGTTTTATTAATCGAAACTAAGTTTTGAATGCGTGGA